TGAGAAGGACTCATGGGAAATAAGGCAAGGTTTGAAGTGTGGAGATGTAGGCAAACCCTAACAAAACAGGCTTCGCTGAGGACTTCTCTTACTGTTGAGAGGGATTTGGGGGCCTGGGAGGGGATTGGGAGTGTATGTCTGTGTGTGTACAGTAATTCCTCATTTAACATGTGCCCGCTTAACACGTTTTCGTGATAGCACCATTTTTTTTTTAGGGAACGTTTTCTGAATTACACGACTGTCCCCAGAATAACACGATTTCCCCAGCTGGCCTGTTGCTGGCGGCTGCGCGGGGCTTCCCCCGCCTCCCTGCAAAGCGGTGAAGGGTCCGCTGCTCGCTGTGCTGTTCCCCAGAGACTCCCCCCGCTTGCCAGACGCAGTGCGGGTCCCAGCAGACCCGTCACAGGGGCATACTCCCAACCCAATCCCCCTCCCCTCTCTTCCCCTTCACTTCCCCAGAGCCAAACACCTCCCCTCCCTGCTGTAACCCAGTCCCCTTTCTCCCCCAACCTTACCTCCCGGTCCCAACAGACACCACTGCTTGAAACGCAACCCCCACGTTTTCCATTATTTTCAGTGGGAAAATTGACCCCGCATAACACGTTTTCACTTAACACGATCATTTTCTGAAACATATCTACCGTGTTAAATGAGGAATTACTGTATATATAAGGGGCCAAAAGCCTTGGATAGGTAAAAAAAAGAAATGCACTTTAAACTAACTAAAGAAATAAGATATAAACCACAAAAGAATAAAACTGACTAAAGACTAGTTAACAAGCAGAATCACAAATGAATCCTGCAGATGCTCCTTCTCAGGGAAAAGGGTTTGAGAAGGAACTGAGGGCAATTTATCCAGCTCGGCCAATATACCCTTGGTACAGGACATGAAGTTATCTAGGGTACATGCACATACTGGACAGACACAGATGCCAAAAATCTCCAATCAAAGAAGCATGCACACTTCAATTGGAGCATCTATAGAGAGACTACTCTATGAACTAGCCTCACTTCTTCTGCTTGTTGTATAAGGCGAAAGCCCTAAAGTGATTATATTCTCACTTCTGAGCTGGATTTGGAAGATTTGTTACAGCATTCTGGCACTGGACTATGAGTCCAATTTTTGAAGCAGTTATGAAAGACCAATGACTAATAACAAAATCTGCAATTAATTTCTTTTACTACCATATCTGCTTAATGTACTTTTGCAAAAAAAACCCAGATTCCTGGGATCATGAGTGGTGCATCATATAGGTCAGAAGAGGCTCAACCACCATTGCCCAATCCCTGCTTGCTTGCTTATGCCCCGTGCATGCCCTGTGTCCCATACAGGTTTGGGACTGACTAAGAAGGATGTATTCAGCTTCCTAAGGTTCATCAGAAATCCCCCTGGACTCCAGAGAGATTACTGAGGAACTCGAGAAGCTACTTAATACATACTGCCTTCTCAGCCATCCTGGGAATCTGCATGGGGCATATCAAAAGCGTCTTCAGGAAGAATGATAGAATACTAGGACTGGAAGGGACCTTGAGAGGTCATCGAGTCCAGTCCCCTGCCCTCATGGCAGGACCAAATACTGTCTAGACCATCCCTGATAGACATTTATCTAACCTACTCTTAAATATCTCTAGAGATGGAGATTCCACAACCACCCTAGGAAATGTATTCCAGTGTTTAACTACCTTAACAGTTAGTAATTTTTTCCTAACGTCCAACCTAAACCTCCCTTGCTGCAGTTTAAGCCCATTGCTTCTTGTTTTATCCTCAGAGGCCAAGATGAACAAGTTTTCTCTTTTCTCCTTATGACACTCTTTTAGATACCTGAAAACGGCTATCGTGTCCCCCCTCAGTCTTCTCTTTTCCAAACTAAACAAACCCAATTCTTTCAGCCTTCCTTCATAGGTCATGTTCTCTAGACCTTTAATCATTCTTGTTGCTCTTCTCTGGACCCTCTCCAATTTCTCCATATCTTTCTTAAAATGCGGTGCCCAGAACTGGATACAATACTCCAACTGAGGCCTAACCAGCTGTCACGTTACTGGATCTTGAGGGAAGCAGCCAGATCACTGATGCACCTATAGGTGGGGGTGTTGGCCCCAAAAATGGTATAGAAGGGGGCCATGTGAGGTATTGATTAGTGGAACAATGGCACTTCATGGGCCAAGGACACACCCAAAGAATGGGGGCTGTCACCTGAGAGCAGCCAGCAGGAAACACAGAGATTGGCCTCTGAACAAGTGACCTGCTGCATACAAGAAGAGGCCAGGAAGGAGGTATAAAGAGGCCATGTGGTCGATGCCATTTTGTTCTCAGCTCAGCGCTTCATCCCAGAGGCAGCATTGCAGGGATCGAAGAGCCCGGAAGACCTGTGAACCCATCCTGATGATAGGATGTGCAACAAGAACTTTTAAACCAGCAGCTGTAACATCTCTGCTAGAGCCGGCATCGAGGACTGGGAGATTCGGTGCACGTAATGTACTATTCTTTAACAACCTTACTCTCATACTTTTCTTTATTGTAATAATAAACCTTTAGATATATATTCTAAAGGATTGGCTCAGCGTGATTTATGGGTAAGATCCAGGGGGTAAATTGACCAGGGATCTGTGGCTGGTTTCTTGGAACCGGACAGAACTTGTTCGGGGTAGGTGGGATTGGGTGCTAGGACCCCCCACCTGTGTATGAGGCCTGGGGCCATCTAGGGCACGGATATTGCTGGGGTGTCGGAGGGGTTTTGCTCGTGAGACTTCAGGCAGGCAGCTGAAGCTCTCTGTGGGACTGGTTTGTGGCCTGTTTGGAGAGGTCACCAGTCTGGGGGCTGTAAGGAGCCCCGGATTTGAGCAATTCGCCCTGAGCGGACGCCCTCAGCTGTGCCCAGACACGGCCCGGTCCGTCACACCAGCGCAGAGTAGAGCGGAAGAATGACTTCTCGTGTCTTGCTCACAACACACCTGTTAATGCATCCCAGAATCATGTTTGCTTTCTTTGCAACAGCATCACACTGCTGACTCATATTCACCTTGTGGTCCACTATAAGCCCTAGATCCCTTTTTGCCATCCTCCTTCCTAGACAGTCGCTTCCCATTCTATATGTGTGAAACTGATTGTTCCTTCCTAAGTGGAGCACTTTACATTTGTCTTTATTAAACTTCATGCTGTTTACCTCAGACCATTTCTCCAATTTGTCCAGATCATTTTGAATTATGACCCTATCCTCCAGAGCAGTCGCAACCCCTCCCAGCTTGGTATCATCTGCAAACTTAATAGAAAATACGCTTATGCCAATTTGTAAATCGTTGATGAAGATATTGAACAGAACCGGTCCCAAAACAGACCCCTTGCAAAACCCCACTCGTTATCCCTTTCCAGCAAGATTGTGAACCATTAATAACTACTCTCTGAGTATGGTTATCCAGCCAATTATGCACCCACCTTATAGTAGCCCCATCTAAGTTGTATTTGCCTAGTTTATTGATAAGAATATCATGCGGGACCGTATCAAACGCCTTACTAAAGTCTAGGTATACCACATCAACCACTTCTCCCTTATCCACAAGGCTCGTTATCCTATCAAAGAAAGCTATCAGATTGGTTTGACATGATTTGTTCTTTACAAATCCATGCTGGCTGTTCCCTATCAGCTGGCCACCTTCCAAGTGTTTACAGATGATTTCCTTAATTACTTGCTCCATTATCTTCCCTGGCACAGAAGTTAAACTGGTCTGTAGTTTCCTGGGTTGTTCTTATTTCCCTTTTTATAAAGGGGCACTATATTTGCCCTTTTCTAGTCTTCTAGAATCTCTCCTGTCTCCCATGATTTTCCAAAGATGATAGCTAGAGGCTCAGGGTACGTCTAGACTAGCTCCTTGAGTATTCTAGGAT